GTCAATTTCACGAATTTAATGTGGATTCTCTGTTGCCCAATAATGCATATTGTTTGTATTAATATCTCCGCAATTTGTGATCGTGGATTCGACAGTCCATAAAACAGTCTGTACACCCACGAGCAAACTCTGTTTCCACTAGAGGAAAAAGTAACGTAAGGAAAGGGCCCCCTATCACTTGTTATTGGGAATTATTAAAATTTATGCCAAATTAATATTTGATTTAACATTTATTTCAGTAGTTGAAATAAATTTATCAAGTAGTGCAGCGCTGGGCAGCATAGAGGCATCTCGCGCGCTTGTTTCCCCTTCCAACCTTTCTTTCACACCGTGTACCTTCGTAGAAACAAAGAAGTACAAACTCTTGCCTCTGTCACTCCATGGTAACGGTGTACGATGGTGGGGACAAGTTTTAGCTCCCGAGAGCCAACTTTGTCCATCGCTGGTTAAATAGTAAAATTGCATCCCCTTCTTTACTACGATTTCGCCATCACCTCCTACTTACGTAGTCGCGTTTTTAACCCTCAAATTGCACTTTTATTCTTTAACATTAATTTTTAAATACCAGGTATACACAAGTACATGTATTTCTTTGTTTTTATGTAAATCAAAGTCCCAATAATTTAATAACGAATTTTTTTTTGTACATAGTTTTTATACGTTACGTTGTTAGTAAGTGAAACAAATGAAGTGACAGTATTAAGAACACTGGCAGTAATTGGGACATTTACCCTGGGTCTTTTCGGAACATCCTCCGAATGTACCGAACGTTCGAAACATATGTACATCCTCTGGATGTCCATATTACGTCTTTGTGCTATTTGGGTACATACTCATAATTAATTTACTCTTCAGTTAATCGATATCACATTGGTGAGTCAAGCAGTGTTATACTTTAATTGCAATCGTCGTAGTGTTATAATAAAATATAAAACTGTGATTCCTCTATCTGTGCTGCAGATTACGCGGTGTACGATAAGTCGCTCAGTCGAAGGTTATCATTTAGCTAGTAATTACGAGTGCTGTTCAATCATTCATTAACCGTCTCGCAAAACGTTGTGCGAATTGGTGTGTTGTTTCTTGGTAAAATTTCGAGAATCAAATTAGGAAGGTTTCTTTTGACGTCACGTTTTCGAATTAAATAAAAAGGGACCCAATGTTAGGGACCCTATTTAAAACTTCGTTTTTATATATATGTTTACTGAAACTTTCATTTAGAACAATATAATTGAATAAAAGTCAAACAAATGTCTTTTGAAAGCTTTACCAAAATAATAACATACGTGGAGCGTTTTTGATAAAGTGGCTTCAATTAAAAATAAGGAGTTTCCTGATACGAAAGTTTGGTTTTCAAATATTATTTTTGCGTTTTTTTTCGAAGCAAGGGTAACAATATACTTTTCCCCAGATAGCACATGACGCCTTAAAGACGCCTATTTTACGACTATTTTAAGTCTAAGGCGTCTTTAATCCGTCTTCAAGGCGTCATGTGCTATTTGGATATCGTTGACAAGTTAATTTTTTTTTAGGATCTAGATGTTTTCAGTTGCAAGTTTGGGTACTATTGGAGGAACGTTTGATAGATTCATCCGTTGTTTAGGTATTAACGTAGATCTTATTTGCATTTTATTATACTTCATTGATATTGCTTTGTATTTAGAGGTTAGACAGGTTATAGTTTCTTTGTTGTCTAAATACATACCGATTCGATCGTTTGAATTTCTGGATATGTGTCTTATTGCTTCAGGGCCTATTATGTTTCCAATTGCACAAGCATAGTTTTTAACGCTGATACCGTTTGCTGCTTGAAGAATTATGGCTTGTTACTTGATTGGAAAGGATTCAAGTTACATGACACACGTGTAGGTCTTCTTTATTTCTGTGGTGTGATTACTAACTAGGTTTCCTTCTGTAAGATTAGTGAACGAGAGATCTCTGTGTTCATAATGTCTTGCTTGACTGAATGGTACTTCGTTTTAAACAGCCATATTATTGTACACTCCGCTAAAAAATTAAGGGATCACCTCTACGAATTCGATAAATGGGGCCAAGTTCAAATGGTCGTAATTCCGGTAAAAATGATCGAATAGATATCACTAAAAATCCTTTGAAATCGTGGTATCCCTACTTTTAGACGCTTTTTCAAGTTTTTAGCTGCGTTGCTTTTAGGCAAAGTTCTAGCAATATGAAAAGAACTCGGAAATTTTTTCAAAATCTTGTTCTGCTATGCAATGTTACGTGGGAGAAATAAAATTTTTTAGACAAATTACGTTGATATTAATCGAACTCGATTATCTTCCTGTGTAAAATAAACGTTCGATGATTGTTCTGCGATTTATTTTGGCTGAGTTATTCAAGTTTGAACTAAAAATCGTTTTTTGACTTTAATTGAAAAAAAGCAATAAAAAAGCCTGTCACTCCTGCTAAACATAAACTTTTTGCTTTTACGATTTTAGTAACATTTCGATGTTCTAGATTCTAGATCCTTCCGAAAATAGGCTTCAAAATTGCACGATTTGAATGTTTTCTTTAACTCGCTGTATCTCGGCAAGAGATGACCACAACATCATAATCTTAAGGTCATTTTAAGGCGGAGCGTTTGCCGATTCGACTAAACTGCAGACGCACCCGCTAAGAATTTATTACCTATGGCCACTATGTTTACAGTGAAAACAGCCGAAGACTAGTTACGCCAACCTAAATAGGGATGAGTCGATACAAGTAAATAAATATATAAAGTATAGTATTGTATTTTATTTTCTTTCAAGGTGTAAGCAACTTTTGTGTTGGGTATCAAGGTTAGGAAAATATAATTCAAAAGAAGTAGGTAACGATACTTTTGTTTCGATACCGAGTAAGTATCGATATCCTCATACAATACTAGCATTGAGTAATAATATCGATACCTTGGCGGTATCGATTCAACCCTGCCAACCGACGAGTTACCTCCACGCGGTATGGCTTGTGTAATGAAATTACCTAATCAAAATAATTATGAAAATCAAATAGGTAATTTTAAATATAGTGGCCATAGGTGAAAAATTAGCTCTGCAGGTTCGTCTGCAGCTTAATCAGATCAGCAGACACTCCGCTTCATAATTCAAATGAATTATGATGTTGCGGTGATCCGTTGCCGAGATACAACAAGTTAAAGAGAAACTTGAATTTATGCAATTTTGAAGTCTGTTTTCGAAAAGACCTGGTATATCGAAATGTAAATTATAACGAAAAAAAACAGAAGACACATCTGCAAGTGGAAATACTGACCTTTCTATTGCTTTCCTGTTGAACGTCCTTCGGTGATCCCTTCTATTTTTAGAAGCAATTGAAGTAAAAAAGATGATGTTTGCTTCAAAGTTGAAGAACTCGACCAAAAAGAATCGCATAACAATCAACGAACGCTTATTTCACACAGGAAGATAAACGTTTTCGTCTAGAATAAATGTAATTTGTCTGAAAAATTGTATTCGTCCCATGTAACGTTGCAAAGTAGATCAAAATTTTGAGAAACTTTCCATGCGCTCTTTATATCGCTATAATATTGCGCAAAAGCAACGCAGCTAAAATCTTGAAAGAATATTTGAAACTAAAGATTCTACACTCCCAAACGATTTTTCAGTGATATCGATATGTCCATTTGTACCGGAGTTATGACCATTTGAGCATACATATTATTTCCTTTTATTTGTATAAGAGCGGCTGACGTGTATGTACTATCACTAACACCAACACCAATACCACAAAATTGCTCCAGCATCTACACTACTCCTATTACAATATAAAGGGTGTTAGTAGAAACGTGGGTTAGTTTCACAGGGTGGATTCTACATGCAAAACTAAAACGAAAATTAAGAATGACAAAAGTGTGTTCGAAGTTTCGTTTCCGAGGTAATAATTATTGTTGAAAATACAGGCCAAGTGGCGTAAAATATAGGTGTCTGATACGGCGGATAATTGTATTTAAAAGGTGCACTTTTTAATTGTTTCACGAGTTTGTTTCATTCATAAGTTTAACTAGGTTATCGATCGATTCCATGTATCAGCTAGGAGTAGACTATTCAAGTAGTATGTATAACTCATCACGTCAGACGTCTCTTCAGTGACGTAACTAGATAGGCCTGTCTCCCCTACCACGTCCAGAAATTATTGAAATATTTAAAAAAAAACATTCGTCAGTTGGTAAAATCTTATGTTATAAAAAATAAATACTTGGGCCGAAATGCAATACGCAACGCAACTAAGTACGAAAAATACAATACTATCGGTATTACGTTAAAGTATTAAGTAAAATTGCATGAGTATTAAGCTGTGTAATTTTTACATTCTACTTAACTAATAATCCTGCAACATCAATTGAAGGGCCGGATGCAATTAAGGGTACTAGCGCTCGAGAATATGAAAAATATTTTTGCAGAAAAAGAAAACAGTAAATTGTAGCTTATATATGATGAATTTTAATTATAGGTATTTGCGCATTATATACTCTTGATTTTAATCAATCTCAAATTTCTTTTATTTTTAAGAGTTACATTTATATCTTTCTGTTCTTAATTTTAGTGTTAAATAAATTTGTAAATAATTCTTGTAAAATGTGTAACTTCATTTTGTGCAATTCACACACGTGGTAGAAATTTTGTGCAGAAAAATTTTGCAGATGCCTGATGAGGAGTGTTATTGGCAGAAGTTAGGGTACCCGCCTCCCCCCCAGAAAAAATTCTAGTTACGCCAATGCGTATCTTGCGCGTATTTTGCCTTTTCTTTCAACAGTTGATAGTTTGCAAACGAAATTTCGAATGCAATTTCGTCATTCTTGATTTTTGCCTTACTTTAGTGTGTAGAATCCGCTGGGAGAAGCTGTTCCCCGTTTTGCTTAACAACCTGTATATTGGCACACGAGGGCGACACTGAACTCTGTTGCCGAAACGCGACTTTACTTATATTTCGTTGTAACGAAACATTTGACGAAGATTAATGATTAATAACATAACGTATTTCTTTAGGATAATGCGAAGTCTGGCGAGGTTATCAAGTAGCGATCAAGACTGCGATCAGGAGATGTATATCGACCTGGACGACGCTTCCGTTGACTCGCTTACCGGAAAACGAAGGCGGCACCGTGTGGTTGGGACAGAGGTAAGTTTTCTTCTATTTCAAGCGTAATTAATTCTGACGTGTCGAATAAAATACTCCAAAACAAAAATTATATTACGTGGTGTAACTATTTAGAATATGGGCGGCAACCCTGATAACCTTGACCTTGACATATGTTGTCAAGGTCACCTTCATCAGTGACCTTTAGAAGGTTTTAGCCGTCGCCCGTTTCTTATTAAAAAGTTATAAACAAAAAAAGTGTAGAAAATGCAGCAGTTATTTTGACTATGGAAGGGCTACAATGATCTTGACCTTTTTATATAGGGTGAATTTATATAGTGTATTTTTCATATTTCTACTGGAACTTTGATAAAGATCAATAGTAGGGTAGATCGAGGCGAATCGAATCATTTTCTGTTTGATAGTAAAAAATTAATTGATGGGTTATTGGATTGGGTTTGGGGGACAAGGATGCCGCAATATGAACAATCGAAATGTTCGTCTCCACGAGAATATAAAAAATATGGACTGAATTCTTATTTTGATCCGATTAGGCTCGGTCTACCTTACAATTGAATGGAATATATGAACATCTAATTCAATACTCGTTTTTGCCATTAATCAACAGGTGGGTGAGGAGAGTGATAGTAGTGGCAGTGACAGAAATCCGAAACAAGCGAAGAGGAGAAATCGTGGAGGACCACCGACGACGAGGAGGCGAAAAAGTGGAATTTCCGCGCGAGAAAAGAATCTGAGGAGGCTTGAGAGCAACGAGAGAGAAAGAATGAGAATGCATTCCCTGAACGACGCTTTTGAGGTAATTTTCCGACGCCCTACCAAATTACTAAAATACATAATGTTTCTAAGACTGGAAATATTTGCGGAACTAAACGAGCTTTTTGTGACCTATAGTATAAATAGTATTTAAAAGTATCGAATTTACTTTCGAATGTCTATCTACGTGATAACTATAATCAGGGCCGTTCCTGGCGGGAGTGCAAAAGGTGCCACCGCAACTGGACGGCCAAACCAAGGGGCGGCCGCAGATCGTTTATTATACATATGTGAAATTTTGGCTGGTAAGAATAATGATCAAACCTTTTTTTATGATTGTGAAAATTTTAGACAAACAGAATTCAATGAAATTAGTGTTATAAGTAATCTTTGTAACACTACTCGTATACAAAAACGAACTACCTTTATGAATAGTCCAAGATAGTATATGATATTTAGTCATATTTGTTGGATTAAATTCGTGTAGGTAATTAATGGTTGCTATTTATCAGCCATAACATCATTATTACAAATATTATACGTTATTTTTGTGCTTATATGTGGAATAAAATATTCACATTGAATAAAAGCATTTATTTTTTAATAATCTTTGTTTCATTTTATGAAAATACAAATTAGAAAATATTGCTTTTGAATGATAAGTATTAAAAGCTATGTACATATATATATATATATATATAGATATAAAAGTAAACACTGCATATCAAATTCTTAATTAAATAATATTAAGTAAATAATGGCGGCGATACTGTTTTTGCACCCGGGCGGCCAACAACCCAGGAACGGCCCTGATTATAATAATACGTTTACAGTGATCTTATCTTCAATTTAATATGTTATTAATGCGCACAGTAACAAGCTATTTAATCGTCTGCATCGAAGCATAAGAACTAGGATCATAACTTTATTTATTTAGAAATCTTGATTATAATACGTATCATACGGAAGTATTAGGTTATCCTATAAGTTTGTACCGACCACATGCCCAAAATTAGATCAATATCCACAACGCACCTTTAAATTTAGTAAAAAAAGCATAATCGTCATTTCGTTCCACAACTTTTTCCCATTTTTTTCTTTCTTCAAACTTCTTTGTTTTTTCATTAAAATATTGTTCAATACTATTTCTTGGTTGACGTTTTCAAATTTTCTACCAACTGAACGGTGTTGCAGTGCCCAAAATAGATAATAATCCGATGGGTTATTGTCCAAAGAATAAGGTGAGTCTACTAACATTTCACAAAGAAAATTGATGTAATTCTTGTGATCATTTTTGGACACATAAGATTATGATAAAAAATGATATTGTTTCTATTCAATAGCCGTGGACGTGCAAAACACTATGAATTGTAATGTAAACCCGTCACAGCACGAACTTAATTTTTTTTTCTTCATAGAACTTGTGTTTGAAACATTGATCCAAATCCTGGTATAAAACTCGGCACGAACTTATGTGGTGACTTAATGCAAACTCAAAAAGCGTCACACCAACTGCAAAATTCCTTATAAATTACATGGAAAACCATTTCAATAGGATTGCATTATGAAGATACGTCAACGTAACATTGATGTCTCTGTAGCATAGTAAAATGGAATAATTAAATTTGTATTAACTATAAAATATGTATTGATAATTAAAATTTGTATGACGCCTTTAAAAGGAAGGAAATACCCGAAAACAAGTTGCACAAATCATAGGATACAGTCAAAGTACAGTTAGTGACTTAGAAAGGAAGTACAGGGTGAGTCTCGTAACGTGACGCCTGTACGAATGACGGTATCATCGTTGTACATCTTCATTCAGGGAGAGCTAGGTCACCTAATCGTAACCCCCTAGTCACAGTTTACCTGCCTATGTCCCAAATACTTGAGGATCATCCCCTTCTCTGTTTCCCACTGTCAAGTTACTACCTCCCGTCCCACAGGATTGGGAGGGAACTATAATGCTCCGGATAGATGTAGATAGGGGCGACATGTTAGCCGGCCTCTAGTAGAGTCGCGGCCGGGTTCGCACTATATACATCCCTGGGTTTGGGTGTGAATTTAGTCTTACTCATAGACATATACAGAGTGCGGCAATAACTATGTCCATTTTGAATATTGCCGTTATTTGTAATAATATGAAAAAATGTTATATACAAAACTTACACAGTATAGAGGGGGGCATATTGTGACACAAACATTTTCTGCGTGGGTGAAGGCATAGAGGAGATTTCAAGATCATTTCTATTTTTTTTAATGGAATGCTATGTTTTTTTTATCGCGATGTGATAGTCGATGTCGAGACGACTTTAGCGAGCTATCATCGAAGGTTACGCAAGGTCAAATGTGGTAGTAAAATAAACTTTCTTACATTACAGGAGATGCTCGAAGTGGTAACCGTTTGCGTCAATACAAAGTTGCAATCTTCGTATCGCTGCATCACGTGCATGTTTTATCGTTTCTGAACTTATTCTATGTAGGCGGATCAAAAACATGGTGTTTCGTTTCGGGAATCGTCTACCAAGGGTGGGGCTGACGGTAGACGACCCCTACCCCAGACGCCTGGGTTGCTCCTCGCCGGAGCCCCTTAAATAGCCAAAGACTCTAATTACCGCTTGCGAGAAAACTCACCACCTAGCGGCCGCTACCAAAAACCCAGGCGACTGGGAGAAACATCTCCACAGACCGCCTGTCACATCCGATCCCCTACATCCAGCACATGCTGTATTATTTCATAGACCTTCACTTTTACAGAAACGAATGGTCTTGTTTATGTTGCGGCAATACATCGCGTATAGCTAGAAATGTAAACATCTCATCAGTTCGTAACATTAACGTGAATCAGTAGTCAGTCTCGGTCGATTGCTGAGTCAAGTACCTGCGTGATCATCAAAATGAAGTTTTCTTTCGAAGAGTAAGTGGATATGATCCTCATTTATGGAGAGGTGCGACAAAATTCGATAAGAGCTCAATCCTTGTATGCTGAACGATATCCAAACCGTACACATCCTTCGCACCGAACATTTCAAAGATTGTACAAAAAATAAATAAGTTCAGAATAAAATCAGTAGTAAATAATAATAGAATAAGTTCAGAAACGATAAAACATGCACGTGATGCAGCGATACGAAGATTGCAACTTTGCACTGACGCAAACGGTCACCATTTCGAGCATCTCCTGTAATGTAAGAAAGTTTATTTTACTACCATATTTTACCTTGCGTGCCCTTCAATGATAGCTCGCTGAAATCGTCTCAACACAAAAAATAGAGATGACCTTGAAATCTCCTCTATGCCTTCACCCACGCAGACAATGTTTGTGTCACAATATGCCCCCCTTTATACCGTGTAAGTTTTGTATATAACATTTTTTCATATTATTACAAATAACGGCAATATTCAAAGTGGACATAGTTATTGCCCCACCCTGTATAATAGACTGCGTGGTCTTATGGTAGGGATGAAGTCGGCACTAGAAAGAAAGGACAGTAACTTTCCTCTCTTTCTGATGGTGCTGTTGGTGGGGGATTCTCCTACGGCTGTAGTGGAGACATTGCATGAGTGCAGCATTCCTTCTCTTCATCGCCCTCCAGTCGTTTTTTCTCCTCCTTCTGCGATGTGGGAGTGAGAGAGGAGTTACTACAGCGCTACTTCTATCCTTCGGTCTCGCTTCATCCCTACAATAAGACTGCGCAGTCTATTATATCTATGGTCTTACTACAGACAAGTGTGTGTGTACGATAGAAAGATAAACGATATAGTAGACCGCGTCCCCCCAACTTGTTTAGTTACTGCCCCATCCCCCACCTGTCTTACATACCGCCCTCCGTACCCCCAGCCTTTAGAAATGTTAGCAAGGAACGCGACGTGAAGTGTGATGCCCCACCGGACGTCACCGAAATTCCCTCTGAACTGACGAATATCAGATTCATCAGAGAACACCATCCGCTTTCTGGGTATATAGTTTCGGTTCGTGCCTATCCCTAGGGTTGCCCTCTATCGACGAAGTACGCCGGTACGTTGTAGCGTCTGCTAGGCGGTCCGAGATCCTTCGTTGACCATGCATCATTCCCACATCTCAGTCTTAATGGCACGTCCTTTACGGGAGCAGTTTGATGCGGTGCCAGCTTTGTCCCGGATGTCGTCTTTGCAACGACTTTCCGGATCCTTTATGTCCTCCTGAGTTGTCATGCAGCTGGTCCGGGTCTGACCAGAGATGGTCACTTTACACTCCGGGGTTCGACCTATTGGCCACAGCTGTCCCATAGTGGTGCTTCGGCGTTTCCTCCCTTCGAGCTAACTGGGACGTACCTTGTCTAACCCGTGACAGTGATTGGCCTGTGGGGCCCGCCCGGGTAGGTGGTTCCGTGTTCCTTGGTTGTTGTGCTGTTGATCGGCTTGCCTGACCCGGAATAGCCGCTCTGTGGATCCGTCCGGGTAGGTGGTTCTGTGCTCCTTGGTCGACTGGATGGATGGTCTCATTTGTCCTGTCTTTTCGGATTTACCGGATCCCAAGGTCAACGTACTAGTACCTTGGTAGGGCTGGACGTTGCCCCCTGATGCTGTTACGGATTATGTGGTTCGATTTACCTCCCCGGGAGCGATAGGCCAAAAGGCCCATTTACCTACCCGGGTTCCAAAGCCGCCCTCGCTCTCTCCTTTAAGCTGCGGGAATGGATAGTCTTCGTACCACGAATGTATAGGCAACTAGCTCGGCGCGGCTTAATAAGATGTAACGACGAGGAACTAATGCCTCCTTTTTTCTCACTCGGTGACCTTTTCTACGACCGTAATGTAGACACCAGTAATCCCATTTCGTTGACTACTATACCTATGAGTTAATTAATATCGTCTATAGTACAAAGGATATCCGGTTTTCCAATACAAATTTTGGAGGTCCATTGATTTTTTGACAGATATTATTCACTTATATGTAAAAATAAAAAATAAAAGTATACTACTAGTATTTGAAAATATATATAGGTTCTTTGTCACTGTTACACTGCTGTATTAACGATGGTAAAATAAAATATTTCATTC